GAACATTTTTTTTGTATCAAAAAAATATCGAACCGTGACACCAAAGTATCGAACCGAACCGTGAATTTTGTGTATCGTTGCACCCCTAACATAAAGATATAGACAGATTACAGTAACCCCATATCAAAGGAAAATAACTTCGTTTGGAGCTGTCCAACACGTGCCATTAGAGATGCTTTAGTGTGCTTTTGAAGTGATTCTCTAGTCTTTTCGTGAGGTGGCACAGTGCTACAGTGGCTAGCATTGGTGTCTCACAACAAGAAGTTCCTGGATTCAAATCCAGGCTAGGGCCTTTATGTGTTTTGGCTCACCCCCAAGGTCCAAAGCCATGGGTGCTAGGTTAAAGGGTAACCTGTCCAGGTCTATGACAACTGGAGCGACCTGTGAGCATGAATTGGATAAGAACTAAGAAAACAGACTGTGGTTGAAAAAGTTGTTTAAACAGCTGGTTCTAAAATCTTCCCATAGGTGCTCAGTTGGGTTGCGATACAACTGAAAAGCCTATAAAACTGTTATCAAACTCATTAAAACGGAAACCATACAAGCATTGAAACCTTCGTGCTTTTTGGATAGATGTACTCAGATCAGAACGCAAATAATTAATCATTGGAAAAATGTGATTGCCCAGAAAAACTTTGCAATAATTTGCAGTGACTGTTACCTATAAAGCAGGAGGGAGTAATTCATTTTCCCAAAGGACATGAGAAACTGGGACTGTTGTGTGGAGTGTGCACCAATACACTGAACCTAATTCAATTTACTTTAATTCAGCTGTATTTATATAGCACCAAACAGCAGTCACCTCAACATGGTTTATATTGTAAGACAAGGCGCTACAGTAATATAAAAACAAAAAACAACAATTGAACATCTACAATGACTGTTGGGGGTGAGGGGAGGAAGACAGGGCAAGAGACACACTGTGGAATAGAGCCAATTGTATTAAATATGAATGTATGTCTTATTGGTGCAGCCCAGGTTTTTATGTGGCCTGTTGGAAAAATGAATTGCCCATCCCTCATCTAAAGGAATAACTGGAGGTTGTTCCAGGTTTTCCCTTTATTTTGTCACTTGTCTGCTGGACGACAGGTAAGAAACTGTCCATTTTTCCTACAAGACCAGGATGATTTATGAGCAACTCATGGTGTAACATGCTGCTGTCAGTGTTCTCTACTGGGAAGCTGTACAGAAGCATCCTTGTCTGCAGGTTACGACTTTAATATAAAGTGTACAATTTTTGGCTTGGCAGCGATCGCCCGCAACTATAAGCTGTCTTGCACAGCACATTTAAAACTCAGAAACAGTTGAGGTTGGACTTTCTATAGGTGAAAATATAAAGCATATTGAATTTACCGTCTGACCAAAAAAAAGCCACGGCCTTGTCAAAGTCTTGATGTGTTGTGAAGTCGTGGTGCAGCGTGTGTGTGAGATAGAGAGGGGGGGGAGACAGACAGAATTAATACCCTAGATGGGATTTTTGATGGTGATGGTGAGGAAGAGGGCTTTTGGCATAAAAGGGGCCAGCGTGTGATCATGATGTCATTAGAAGTATACAGTGAGACAGACTGGAGGAGGCTGCTGTAACGTGCTACACCCAAGGGACGTCATTACCAGCTGAAACTGAGCAGGGACCCGAGCACAGGTCAGGCACACAGGAAGCGTGTATCTCCTACAAACGCATGCAAGCAAGTGTATTCTTACTCGCATGTGTACACACTTGCATGAGTGCGTTTTTCCTTCAGCGCACACACCATTTCTCACAGGATGGCATCCATAAGATAACAAATGGACAGCGCTGTCTGGCCTCTGACAGCAGACCGGTGCTTTTGTTGGCGAACCTGACGAATTCCTCAATATCTAAGTGGACACCTCTACAGACAAATGCACCTCATTAATGAGCGCACACAGATGGACAACACACACAAACGCACACACAGATGCGGACTGCAAGCTCGTGCTGTGCTAAGTTGCAGTGTGTATACCAGTGTAGCCGTCTGCGCTTCATTACTGTTCACACACAGACAGTTGCAGTGTTTTTGTGTCAATGTTTAATGAGGGGCTGGGAGTCTGGGGACCTTACTGCTGTCAGGAGCTCCTGTAGTCTGGAGCTACCACCTGTTCCCATCCGCTCCCTAAAGACCTTAACACACACACACACACACATGCACACACATGCACATTAAAATACATGCAGACACGCAGAGGCATGCAAACAAGGAGCAGCACACACCAAAACATGCCTGCACAAACGCACACACTTGACAAACTGCATACACTGATTTAGTCATCCTGTGGCACCACTGTCAGTGTTGGATACATGTAAACAGGTTATTGTGGTTGGCTGAGCCTGGCTGCCTGACAGAAGCTACAAAGACCATGGGAATATCAATTGATACATTTCACATTCTTCGTCAGCTCGCCCGGGATGACAGCGTGAAAGCTGCTGCCAGCGAGAGTGATCCCTCTCTGCCTTTTTCTGACATCGCCGTTTGATGGAGATCTGAACCGTCCTGACTGATCGTCTCTCGCCGATACGCCGAGCAGCATGCGCCGTCATGCTCAGGGACCGCGTCACATAATGATCTACGACAGACCTTCTCAGACAAAAGTGCAGCTGTAAAACATATATAAAAAATTAAATAAATAGATAAAAGAAATGCTTCCCGTTTTTGGCAGGGTGTAAGTATAAAAGAAAAAAAAAAATCAACTTTGAGAGGAAATAAATATACATTTCAAAAAACTAACTTTTATTAAAACAAAAAAAACAAAAAACAAAAGAATCAATTATTGACTCATTAACAAGATTATAAAACAGTGATTTAGTTACATAAATAAATTGATATCGGTGTATCAAATCTTAATTTCATAAGCATGTATACATGGGTCATTGTAATAAATAAAATGGGAGAGCAGAACATTCCTACACGAACAAAAACAACAACAAACAAACAAACAAACAAACAAACAAGAAAATTAAAATAAAATAAAACAAACAGCTAGAAAGACTCAGAGGAAATTGTTTCTGAAGAGAACAAGAGACACTGGACAACTTTTCCACCAAACACACGTGAGGAATTGCTTTGTTAAAGCATCAGTTACACAGCCATTCACTTACTAATTAAGGACACTAAAGCTGGGACCAAGGTTGGTTGTCTCTCCCCTCTTAGAACGCGTTTGGTTGTTAGATAGATCTTCTGTTTGGTTACTTTAAAGCGTTAAGACAAGGCAAGAGAAAAGGCTGCTTTTATCTTTAATCAACACAAGATAGAAAAAAGACGCAGAGAAAATGAGATATTAAAAAAAAGAAGAAGAAGAAGAAGAAGGAGAAGGTAAAAAGGCAGGTAATGATGGGACAGCTTGAACTTTGCAGTGGAGACACTGGAAAATCTGCAGGGAATGAAGGAGAGAGCTGAGGAGACTCATTTGTCCATGTGCAGAATTGTCGAGTTTGATGACTAATAAGTTACTTGCGCGGTTATTATATATTACTGGAACATGAGGCAGGTTCTCAGTAAAATATGTCCTTTTAAATGTACGACTGTAAGGCTGGACACATAATACACGCTCTGTTCGCCAATTAGCTCCCGTATAAAGCACATTATAGTATTTTTCCAATAGGATCCCATGGAAATCTAGGCTACTACAACAGCTTACATGCATAACTAAGTATGAAATCACGTATTGTGTTTTTAAACATTTATCCACCACTGGCGTGGAGTAGTCTACCTCTCTTCCCATTCTACACGTCACTCAGCGGAACAACATTTCTGACAGGATCCAGCGTCTCGTGCGTGAACACATGCGAGTCCAAAAAGCTGTCAACAAGGTCAGTCGAGTCCTTCTGATATGTTCTGTTTTGTTGTTGTTGTTGTTTTGTTTTTTTTTACAAAAGAGTGGAGGGGAGGGAGGAAAGCCCACACCCCCAAAAAAAGAAAAAAAAAAGAAGAAAAAAAAGGGCAAAAAGGGAGAAAGAGATGAAGAGCGAGAGAGGGAGAGAGAGCAAACTACAGCGGCTTCAAGTATTTCACATTACATAGAATACTCTGTATAAATTAGTTAACATATACTTTCAGATCCTCCATATTCAGACATATACTATGGCATATATACAGAGTACAATAAATGCTCGCTCATGTTGTGTCGTGTTTTTGTCTTTTTTTTTTTTTCCTTTCTTTCTTTTTCTCCTCGAAGTTCAGTTGTTCGTATGTTCCGCCTTTTTTGTTGTTGTTTCTTCCTGTGTAGAGAAATCCCTGAGAACGTTCTGGCTGACAATTACTGAAGGTTCCACACAA